TGTATGCCATACATACATACATACATACATACATACATACATACATACATACATACATACATACATACATACATACATACATACATATATACATGCGTGTAGTTAAAGGTAGTTTTAGCGCAGCCCCTTTCCAAATTCTAGAAAACGTCAGTGTGAACACCATGTACTGTAAAAGCCATTATTCTAACGAGGCGCATATATATAACGATTTCCCAAAATTGACTAGTTTACGTGTACCAAAGGTAACGATTCTCACTCATTCTCAGCGCTCAATAGGACAGTATATGTATCGATTTCTGTATAATGATTTCTATTTTAACGACAGATTTCTCCTCGTTAACTCGTTAGAGTTAGCACTTTGTTCCACGGTGTCACCTAAACATGTCTCCACAGCCTCCTGCCCACACCATTCACGTTCACACACCTTGCTCATAACACCCTGCCCACACCAGACATATCCATTTACATTGCGCTATTATCACACTGCTAGCTCTACAGCCTCCTGCCTACAACATCCACACGCATTGTTCACCACCTCCTGCCCACACCAGCCACACACTTCGCGCTCACACTGCACTGCTAGCCCCTGCCTTCAACAACCACACACTCTGCACACAGCCCCCTGCCTAAAACATCACCGCTACTGCGCTAGCCCCCACAGTCTCACACAGCTTTTTATACCACCCTCTCCTGGCATATATACCGGCATGGTCGGCACCCGATCTTCATGTTGCCTGATGATTGCGTAAGCATGAAACTTAAAGTAGCAGCAAACAAGCCTTGATTGTCCTTGTTGTTCTGTAGTGTAGCACTTTGTTATATATGGCTTTTACAGCGTTATGCTTTGCACTTTGCACAGTACGAGCTCGTACGCACGTCCTCTTCTGTGGAGCTTGATATCCAACTACTTTTTTTCGCGAGGAAAAGGACTTTCTACTCGTAAGTCAGAGCCTATAGAGCTTGAATAGCACCGTCATCTTCCGTAGAGCATAAATTGCAATTATACCCATCAAGCCTATCCACCACTGACAACCACGACTGTACAGTCAGACCTCGCATAACCGCACACATCCGTTTTCCACAAAAAATATCCGGATAGACGAGGGAACCGGATAACCGAACGCACATACTGCATGTAAATCGGTAACCAATGATTTTCTTCCGGATGGCGAGGGATCCGGATAAAAGAGGACCGGATAAGCGAGGTCTGACTGTATCGAAAACCACCTGTACTCTTTTTCTGCGACCACCTTCTTCTCGAACTGATCGAATGCACTCGAGTCGCCACTTCAAATCCTATCCTGTGCAGGCGCCTCTTGGCCTTTTTTTTGCCCGAACATTGGTCCGACAACTGCCGGACCGGTCGTTACGGCCCTGTTTGGGTACAATTGTACTACATTCAATGATTCAACGGTTGTATCATCCAGGATTGCATCCAGGGCTATTGTTTCCTGGGCTCAACTTGCACGTTGCAAAAATAGTATAAGTTTTCAATCTTCATATTTTTAAAGGAAAGGAAAGAAACCGAACCCCGGCAAAAGTGCCTCCAAGTCAGAGTTGGACCCACACCTCACCGATGCGTCATTGACATGCATCAACACACACTCCATTCTAAATCACCAGGCTCTGGCATATGCATCTTCCAGCATGCCATTTTATTTGTCCTGTGCTGTCTTTGACTTTCATCGTGTACATGTACTGTAAATTCGGAAACGTTTGCGATCCGGAATCCTTCGCGGTTTTCGCGATAGGTGTGAAATCACAATGGTAAGCCGGCGCGAAACGTAGAACTGTAGTAAAGAAGCTGAGGAAATTGACTCCCATCATGATGGCGCAAACATCTCCAGTTACAAATTTGTCTGTGCTTGCAAACTTCGCAAACTAAAACCAACGCAAACGTTTCAGGGTTTACAGTAGTTGCAAGAGTCCAACCCCCCCCCCCCTTGGTTCCAATCTGCGTCAGACACACTGCATTATCGATATCCAGGGAGTAGTAAGTGCAGTTTCCATGTGCTTCGACGCGGGGAATTCGTGAAGGATTTGGCTGTATGAATGAATCAGGTTGCCTCGAGTTCCGCATCAGTTGTCAAAAGTGTTAGTGGTTAGTTGTATGGGATTCGCACCACTTTTGGCGACAGTCTAACCACTGTGGCGCGCGTATTAAACAGGTACTAGAGAGTTTAAGTTACACGTTTTTTGCCCTTTTTCAAAACGCGGTGCAAATCTCACGTTACGTGTAATTTTTAGAGGTTAAGTTACACGTGCGACGTGACGTGAAATTTTGCCTGGCAGGATTCGGGTTTAGTTCGCATCAAATCTTCCAACAAACTCGATAAAATTCCGGAAACTCACACAAATTCGGTCGGAATAACCAAGCGAAACTTCCAAAAACTCACGTCATGAACTTACGTGCGGGACAGTCAACTCACGTAAAACACGTCAAATTTTACGTGAGTTTTTTCACTTTTTGACGTAAAAGTTCACGGACGTAAGACTTTTACGTGAAACTTAACCTCTCTACTAGGTGTGTGTTGATCGGTGCAAAGTAGAATGCGTACAACATAACAGTGTAGGTCCTGAACATTTCCAGGGCTCTCGTACGGATAATCAGCATGGTAATTCCCTCCTACTGTTCTTTTTTTGCTGATTTTCTATCTATATCGAGTATGCTGGTATACCAGGTCCACTCCACCTGCCTGGTAATGAAAATAATTTAAAGGGGAAGTTAAGGCAAAAATTAAAATTTCACCAGTTGTAGTCTTCGGGGTGCTGAGTCGAATGGTCTTGGTTCGAGAAAGCTGAGACGCTCCCTTCCTACTTGAATCCCAATCGAACTCGCGCACTTCCACCAAAACTGGGTGACTGCGCCCTACAAGATGGGGATTTGTATGCAAAATGTCACTAAAAGCGCCGTTTCGTTCTTATAAAAGCACGGATGACCGCGATTGGCCCATATGTTGTAGTCTTTTGGACGCTGAGTCGACTGGTTTTGGTCCGAAAAGGCTGCGATGCAGCGTTCCTCCTTTATTCCCAATCGAACATGGTTGAACAAGTGGTCACGTGCTCCTGGGTGCCCAAATCACCTGGTCACCACGCCAGCAGGTGACAACTTTCACACCAAGGTTCAACTCGAGTTCAACTCGAGTGACAGGACTGCACCCAAAAAAGGTCAAACAGGCTAGTAAGTTGTACCCTGCAGACACGGTGACCAGCTGACTGGTGTACGCAGGAGCACGTGACCGCTTGTTCAACCATGTTCGATTGGGAATAAAGGAGGAACGCTGCATCGCAGCCTTTTCGGACCAAAACCAATCGATTCAGCGTCCAAAAGACTACAACATATGGGCCAATCGCGGTCATCCGTGCTTTTATAAGAACGAAACGGCGCTTTTAGTGACATTTTGCATACAAATCCCCATCTTGTAGGGCGCAGTCACCCAGTTTCGGTGGAAGTGCGCGAGTTCGATTGGGATTCAAGTAGGAAGAGAGCGTCTCAGCTTTCTCGGACCAAGACCATTCGACTCAGCACCCCGAAGACTACAACTGGTGAAATTTTAATTTTTGCCTTAACTTCCCCTTTAAATAAACTATCCCTTTGATGGAAATGAACGCCACAAAGCGTTAATTTGCATGCACATGCATGTTTTATAGTATGTTGCACGTCACGGTGGTGTGGCACAGGCCGTGGTGTGGCACAGGCAAACCAGGAGGATACAACCAGACTGAGTGTGTTTACAGACTTGGACTAGGAGCAGGAATAGCAGGAATGTAATGAGGAATCATGATATTAAACCGAGAATCGAGTCGTGGCAAGCTTAGGTCAGTGGCCGTCCATGACGATGTTGACCTTTTGCCCTTTTTCTTGCAATTGTGGATCACACATCGCTCTTGTACAAGAAGGTACATGTACACAAGACCACAAACATGCATACTAGTATGCCGAAATTTGGGTGAACACGCGGAAAGAAATCATTCAGACCAGACTGCATGTCCTGTATGTATGCAGCTGGACAATTTTCCGCTACTTCTAGCCCAACTCAGTGATTCCTGAGCAACTGGAAAGGTGTTTGTGGAAGGTTCAATGGACTTCTCGTGTTCTCTGGATGGCAGCCATGAGTCAGTCAAGTGTAAAGTCGGCGGAAAAGCATGAGCTTCGGTATGGGGAGCAAACATCTTTCCTATGTAATCATCGCCGAAGTCTCCACCACTACCCAGAAGCAACATCAGTGATTATATCTGGGTCCCCAAGCATTCGTGTTTTACAAGTGGATTTTCCGCTGTGCATGTGCGGGTTCTTTCATTTTGGACGTTGGGGTCCGAGCTCATCCAACACCCAACAAAGCCGGTACAGGTCAGACCTCGCTATAACGTAATCTCTGGGGGATGGGGGAAATTATGTTATAGTGAGTTGGGCACACCAATATGCAATATGTATGTCAACACGACGCCCTTCACCTACTGATTACAACCGTACTGACTGTACTGTTTTACATACAGGTATGATGATGACTAGCAAAGATGTGTACAGACTACAGGCTTGGCAGCAAAGGGGTGACAAGAGTCATGTAGTGCGTGTACTTGTACAATCATGTGACAAGATTAGAGCCTATAAAAAGTAATGGGAGTAGTAAAATACCGGTATTTTACTACTCCCTGCTTCCGAGGTGGACGTCTCAGTCTCGAATTCGTCGCGAGAAGGCATGCATGCCGTGTACATAGTCTTTTTTATAGGAGTTGTTACGTTATGCTGAGGTCTCCGTGCGCCCGGGACCCAGCAAACAGTGCGTTATAGCGAACATTACGCTATAGCGGATTATGTTATAGCGAGGAAATGTTGTACAGAAGTGATGCAGTTTCGGCAGGGACATTCACATGTGTACGTTATAGTGAGGTTTATGTTATAGCGGGGGTCGTTGTAGCGAGGTCTGACCTGTACATGTATTCCTTGGTGATGGGTCTGTGAGGTCTGTAACTCGACTCACAGTGCAACTCGCAGTGTGGAGTTCAGAATGCTGCCTCGAGTGCTACGTAACTGTCATTCCTTCAAAGCAAGATGTTTTGGCTTAGGGTATGCACATCACTGAGTGTAAGTAGCATGTTACATGTAGAAGTAGCATGAGTACAAGACTAGCAACAGCAGTACAAATACAATTGATGAAGAATGCACGGAGCGAACATTGACGCTGAGCAGACATGATGATATCTACTGGCATATAGTAGTGGACATGCACTGCATCCTACCCATTGTAAATATAAGGCAATGCAGACGAAATTGTGCTGTTCACACTCTACTCATGATCACCTACGGAGATAGTACTCTAATGTTGTTCTATAAAAGATAATACCTAGCTTTGACCTGGCATATCACACCTAGCAAATCACCTATGCATGCCTCGTGACGTACCATGCAGTACGCATACACTGAATCAATGAGATAATCACATTCGAGACAAGCAGATGCAAGTATCAACAGAAAATTTGCCGACAACTAGATTTACTTAGTCCGCTGAATGATGTCAATGCATCATTCGGCGAATTGAAGACTGCGAGGAGGAGGGGGAGGGGGGGGGGGGGTTAATGCATCAGGCTCCATCCCACGGTGATAAAGGAAACAGCTTCATTGCCACGCGATGCGTCGACGCATGCCATTCTGCTGCCTGTAGACGACCATTCAATCATCATCGTTGACTGCGGACGCGTTAGCAGCCGGATCCTGTCCGCGTAGCATGGTCTTGGCGAGGAAGGCCTCGCGCTGCTGCTGGAGCTTGATGCTCTTGGGAATGTCGGGCACAAGCCAGGCAATGATGGCCTTGATGAAGAACACGATGTGCTCAAAGGCGATGAGGAATGCCAAGCGACCTGCCACGCTGTGCCAGTAGAAGCTTGTCAGCTCGGCTACGCCGTCACCATCATTGCGCCCCCGCTTTGGCCCACGGTATCCGCACACCAGATTGCCTTCATTCAGGTCACGGTTGTTGGCGAGGTAGTCAGCACGCACGGTGCTGTTGCTCAGTGGCTTGGGGCCGCCCATTGTCGCGTTCTCCAACTCCTCAAACACAGCATGGCTGGTGACACTGATAGAGTAGAGCGCAAAGCCAGCAACGGTATTGTCGTTGGTGCGGTTTTCATTGTAGATGCTGACTTTGTTATTCACCGTCCGCTCGTAGACAAGACGAGGAACAAAGCCGGAGGTGAGAGCGATGACAAGGCCGTTGGTGATGACGGCAAAGGTCGACAACGCATCGAGAATTCCGTACCAGATGCCGATGTCTTCGGCGCGGTCAGCAAACGGCCGGCGTGTCTGTGTCAACAGCTTGTTTGCGTCCAGGCGAATCTCAACGATGTTGTTGATCAGGGCGAAAATAGGTGCCAGTGGGAAGGCCGTGACAAACAGGGTTACGAATCCGTACTGCAGCACCATCTCCAGGTATTCACTGAAAAGTCCATGATCAGGAAGGGGATTCAAATCGTAGTCGGCCTCCCAGCGGTTTGGTGGTTGGTCAGTGTTGTCACGCTTAGCCAAGTAGACCTGATTCACAGCAGAGCAAGATCAAGGAAGCAAAACAAACTTGCAACATTGTTTTACCACCTCAACATGTGGTAATGGCACTTATTAGTACTTTTAAAGCTGGCTGGCTATGAAAACCAACGGAGAGAGAGAGGGGGGGGGGGGGGAGAGGGAGAGAGAGAGAGAGAGAGAGAGAGAGAGAGATAACTTAGATAGATAGAGAGAGAGAGACTCAGAGAGAGAGAGAGAGAGAGAGAGAGAGGGGGGGGGGGGGAGGAGAGAATGTGTGCACGTGGTGTGCATGTGTGTGTGTGTGTGTGTGTGTGTGTGTGTGTGTGTGTGTGTGTTTATTTTTCTCACCTGTTGACAACAGTTCAAGGATCTAATCTAGATCAGAGATTCGATAATCATGCTCAAACACAAACATACAAGCGATATGCAATGTACCTTAATTCTGGGCAGAACCACCTCCATGAAATTGTTGAAGGCTTGCTTTCCCACCATGATGATGGCCAACTGAATTGTCAGCTCAATTAGACAACCTCCGGCACCACACTCGTCCAATCGGTAGCCGGCGATCGTGTCATAATTTGGTGGGTACCCGGCGAAGTTGCCCTTGAAGAAGGCGATGTAGAAGATACTCCCGTAGTAGTTACAGAACTGTACCAAGTACAATACCAAGCATGTGTATGAAGAAAACACACATGCACGCGCGCGCGCCCGCACACACCAACCACACATCACACACACACACACACACAAACACACCGGCACACATACACACACACACACATCCACCGGCACGCGCACACACACACAATCTCAAACTTTGATTCGTGTTCAGAAGTATACGCCGTTGTGGTGTGTGGCGGTGTAATTCTCTGTAGCTCTATGCCCAAACTGCATAGTATGTGGTCAACCGCATGTCTCTAATACATGCTTAGACCAGATGTCAATTGCCACCACTGTGCTCCACAAACTACCTTACATGCATGTGCATACACTGTTCTAACCATGTCACTTGTTTGCAGCATTAATATATTGTTTTGATGTTGAAAAGTAGCCTACAATGCAATACGATTCAAATGTATTACTAGTAGCAAGAGTACATAACCACTGGGGGTTATGTACTCTTGCTAGTAGTCATGCAGCCTACATTTTCTTGGACACTGTTGTCGTCTACTTCAACCTTTTCTTTGCGCGTTCATTCGTAACCTAGTTCCAGACAGTATAATTATAGTGCTGTAGGCCAGTCACCATGTTGTACTTGGTATCTATAGCAGGTACAAACCTGAAAGAGGAACATCTTGAAGGTGAAGGAGTCCTCGTGCTCCGTTTGCGTGCGATGCAGCTCCCAGTTGGTAAGGCCCACGGCGAGGAATTCGTAAATCTTCCCCAAGAGCATGATCATGATGACTTGGATCAGCGATGCGGTGACGGTCGTAAGGATGCCGCTCAGGCTGCGGATGGTATCGATCTTGTAGAAGGCCTCTGCCACAACAATTCTGTAGAGGATAACGGAAATGAGCACTGCCAGAACAAGAATGACGAAGAACGCCATCACTGACAGGGCAGAGAAGATCTTCACATAGTAGGAGGGCTCGCTTTGATACGGTTCTTCAATTTGCGTGACCGGGTTGGGGCGCAAGCGGCGGACCTTGGCCTCAAACCGGGGACGAGGTCGCTCTTCCTCCTCCTCAAAGTCTGTCAAATCCCAGTCGTAGGCAATCTCGTTTTGCTGCCTCTTCCAGAACTCCAGGAAGAACGTGGCCCACAGCGCCATGAACGCGGCAAAGAACACGGTGGCTGGGTTGTCAAAGATAAGTGTAGCTCTGCTGTAAGTGCACGCAGACGAGTAAAGCCAGTAATCGCAGTCCGAATCGCACAACGGACACATGAGAACGTCTCGGCACTGCAGGTCATTGGGGCCCAGCAGCGAGCTGTTGTGGCAGAGCGACGAGCTTCGATTGAGGCCTTCCAGGTTGCATACTTGTGCACCGACGTTGGTGGTACCCGAGTAGGCAATGATCAAGCCAATGATGAAAACGATCAGACCGACTATGCTCGGCAGAATAAGCACAGACGTATAGTAGCCAAGCCAGGCAAAGTAGATGGCAATCTTCTCTCCGTAGTAGTTGCGAATGTGATCGAGTGGCTGGAATCGATACCAATTGCCATGCCTCCAGTCTCCCCACGTTCGGTACAACTCTGATCGTGCGTTGATGTCGGCGTCCGCCTCAAACCCTCCCTCGTGCAGTGGGTATGCTGCCACGTAGGACTTGTTACCGAGCAGGCGCTCCACGCCAATCTTGGTCTTCTCGTGAGCGCGTGACTCCTCATCGTGATGCTCACCCTCTCCATAGCGCGCCTTGGACAAGATCTCGTAGGCAATGCGGCTGCGCTGGGCGGGCGAGAAGAAGATGTTGGGTTTGTCGAAGTTGATGAACTTTGGGCCCATGGTCCGTGTGAACAGGGCTGTGTACTGGTTGGGCTCCTCTTCCAGGTCGCAGTCAAACGGGTTGTTGCCACAGCAGCAGCACTCCAGTGCTCTTTCCAGCGTTGTGTGTGTCTGCTTGTTGTCCATGCTCAGTGGCATGCGCATCAGAAGGATCTCAGCCCACTTGCACAGCGTCGGGAACGGCAGGTGCAGCTTGACAAAGTTCGTCTTGCCGTCGTTCGACTCTTCCTCGTGCTCCAAGTCCACCTGGTATGTGTCCTTGAGGGCGTCTTCGAAGATCTTGCGCTTCTCAGCACGCGTTTGCCGCCATTTGTTGTCGTCGGTGAGCCCTGGCTCGAAGGCCATCACGTAGTCGATGCGCCGGACACCATCGCGGAAGAAGACGCCCACATCACCCTTGTCCACGCCATGCGCGGCACTACCCGATGTTGTCTGCGCTCGGTCACGCGCCAAATCCATCGGGTGGGACTCGACTGGGGCATCAGTCTGGCCAGATTGGTAATAAACACCTACAGGAAATCAAGACACACACAGGCATGTACATGTATACAGACGTACATGGACACACACAGAAACATGGACACAAACATGGACACACACACATGCACACACACACACACACACACACACACACACACACACACACACACACACACACACACACACACACACACACACACACACACACACACACACACACACATGGACACACACATCTACGAATGTACAGTGATGAAGACAAACAACTGGATGGCTACATCCGTCGTCATCCCGGTTTGTGCATCACATCGCGGTACCGAGGAAAGTGTGAAAATGCCCATTGAGGTGGTCGCGAGTAGGGGTGTGCGGATAATGCTCGAAAAGGTGGCAGATCCTGTTGCTCGAAAAGCAGTGAAATTGGCAGAACCATACAAACATTATGGCGGGCAATTCCTCGAGTTCTGCTCCATTTCTTTATCCACATACCAAACATGCATGAAACTTACCAGAAAAAGTACCGAATTCTGCCAATTTTTCTGCCGGCATTATCCGCATATGCCTAGTCGCGAGATGGAGTTTAACTCAAATCAACATTATTGCCGGGACTGGCTTGCGGCGTGCTCTTCCGTAAGCTAATCAAATTTCAAATTGTCCCAGAAGCTGTGATAGTAAGTAGTGGCGATGTGCGTGTATGATGAGAAAGGACTGTACTTGCTTCATTTAGGATCGAGAAAAGCCGGAGTGAGCCTGATGGATAGTCAAAGTGGTCAACGGGCTCCGAGACAACAATCAGACATCATGATTCAGTGATGGTTTACCGCACTGCATGTGTGAATCACGTCCGCCGGATCGTGGAGTCCATCCGACGGATTAACCGACCTTCGCTGTAATAATTATAATGTATCCGTCCAGCCTACACTGGGCCCGGACCCTACAGTACTGACTAGGCCTATAGCCTAGGTGCTACATGTACTAAAACTTTAGTTTAGTTCTATAAACTACACGATTTCATTCCGTACACCACGGTCTGCCGGCATAGAGTGAGTAGATCTACCCCTGAAGAAGACATAGTGACATAGTGACATAGTGCGTGCTAGAACTGGAACTACCATTTGCACAGTTACTTCAGAAGTTTGGTCTTCTTGACCCGCCCGACGAAAAGCGATTGACGCCAACGGTTCACAAGTGTGAATCGCAGAACACTCAGGACTCTGGAGCCGGTCAGGAGTCATCAGGGCAGAGCGGCTCGGCTGGGAATGATCGCTGCCGCCAACTACAAGGCTTGCCTGGGCCTGGGGTCCCTACACTCTAGACCGGAGTCCCAAACCATTCAATTAGTCTATGTTCTGCCCGTTTCCCGGAGCCTCAGCTATCGACCAGTAACTGTTAGGTACGCAATCCTGCGTGAAACTACCAATGACAATGTGGCAATGATTTTTGCATCAATCGACACCGCCAAGTGCACGCTATACGCTTACCTGGCTGACCTGCGTTGCCTTCAGCCGACAACAAGCCCTCGAAACCGACCTCCTTGCTCGCCATTGTGTTCGGCTCCGTCATTTACGAAGTTACGATACACACCGCCAGAGCGAGAGATCTTCCTCGCGCGCGCCAACTCTGCGGGAAAGCGAAGTAAAATGGACGACGACACGGACGAACTGAGTTATGCAGGAGCTAGGCGGCGTGGGCAGACCGAAAGCCCAGTACTATGGAGGCATGCGTTGTTGCGTTGTTGCTGTGGCGGCAAGCTGCGATGGAGCTGGTGTCCTGGCTAGGCTTGCTTGTAGGTCTGGCTGCTGTGAGGTTAGGATGTGGGATTGGGAGGCATAAGTGTCAGAACTGACTTCTCCAGGAGTTACACCCATCGACCACAGTTGCACTCAATGCACGCTGTCGAGTGGCTGCTCACTCCGGGTCGTCGCCGCCATTCACCAGTTCGTAAACCTCCCCAGGCCTCAGTCCGCCGGTTCAGAATGTCAGATTTGATCGCTGCAGTACGACAACAAACACCCGTCCATTCGTTGTCAGCTAGTCGATCAAAATGGAGGAATATGACAGCCACCACCATAACGGCATAAGCTACTTGCGTTGTCGTTGACAGGCCACGTGATCGTAGCTATGAACCGTCTTGCTTCTTCTTTTACTCCATGGTCAAGTCTAAGTGCCGGTAAGAAAAAAAGAAGCTGCATCGCAGTGTTGTCGTTTACTCACTCGTTTACATAGTAATTACGCACATATGTGTTAGAGCTAAGCCAAGCATGCACACTGGGCCCAGTCAGTGTACTCGTAGCCTACTTATGCTGTGCTATTCAATTCATGATGTACATTTTCAAAGCTGTCCCATGGGCATTTTTTGTGTGCAAGATCATGTGCCACCACGATAACCATGCAACTGTCTGCGCGGGCAAATCTCCGGGCTTAGCGACTGAATAGGGAAAACAAAATGCATGGTAGTCGATGCCTGACTTCTTCCTGAGGCAAACTAGCCCCCCCCCCCCCCCCAGCATTCCAATGCCTGGCTACCAACAGCATACTATCATACCACCGGGGGGGGACGGCTATGGTTTTCCTCAGGTCCGGATGGACGTTCCAGCTGACTGGATAGGTACAATACTCGAGCACGTGTCTGTTCTCCTCAGTAATCGGGCATGCGCTTCCATATGTGCTCCATGCACAGCTAGCCACCAGCTGTTCCACTCAGGCCAGCTGCTGCAGTTTGGAGGTGCATGACCTGGGTTTGCCATCCTCAGTTAGTTGAGATACCACCGGGGGGGGGGGGGGGGGGGGGGGGGGCATGTACATGTACTGTGCAGGTCACTGTAGTCCCACTGAGACTGCAGTGACTGGCGCACACCTTGTTGAATCAGCCACTGTGACCTGAGCGCAGGTTCAGAGCTGTTCTATTTCCACGGAGTAGTCCCTTGCTGAGGATCTTGGCCAATGTACCATGGATGCTCGCAGCTCATTCAAACCATTGGTAGAGAACTGGTACAGTCACGATCAGGTTGTGTACAAAAGCCCAGCTTCAAGTATTCCTGTAGATGCCTATCCATGAGATTGACATCCGGGATGTCATGACTAGGCTCCTATTCAAATTCCAATTGAATTCCGACAGCAATTTAAGCCAGGCTTATGCGCAAATGGTCCACCTTGGAAATCGGGGTTAAATTCAAAACAGGCTTCTATAACGTTATGCGACAGGCATTTATATAAGACTCTGCTACGCCGGTAGAATAATGTCATTAAAAATGACTGGCTGGGGTAACAGAGGCTGTGTCTTGCCCCATTGATTGCCTCCACGGTCCAATGGAGTGATTCTATCAACGCAGCTGTTCATACAACTTGGTAGCAGACACCGGGTCCAGGGTGTACACTCTCACTATACATGTCTTGTCGATCTGTTTCATTCAGATCTTTGGCGGGGGGGGGGGGGGGGGGGGTGTCGCGAACATCTGTAGGTCTATATGTACGGCATCCAGTGCATTTGCCAATTTGCGTGTTTCTGTGACGGGCGTACATGGCCCATGGTGGAGGGTGACATGTATGTGCCGGTATACTACAGGCCTCCGAGGACCTCCGTGGGTCTTTCACACCACTGGTTTATTCCCGGCACGGATGTGGTGCTGCATCGTGAATACGCCAGCTATGAGAAGCGGCTTGCTGGTCGCCTCGCCCTCAAGTGCCGGGACAAGCCCTTTTCGAACATCATGGCTTGGGTGCGAATTCGTACCCAATTTGCAGTGTTCCATTCAGTCGACCTCCGGCTACGCGGTCCAGAAGGCGCCTGACAGGCCTGTCGACGCAGGATGGTGCTGGGATAGGCATCGGCCATTGAGAACTGAATTTCGTCTGTTTTACGTGAAATTTCTTGGAGTTTTCCAATGTATTGTACTGGAACTTGATAAAATTCTATTTTACTAGGCTTTTCATGGTATCTCTATTTTTTCACATCTACATGACTTTATCTTGCCCGTAAAGAGGCCGTTACCTCGGAAAAAAAGTATACTACAGGCACAGCCACCCGTGACTAGAGGAATCTGGCCTGATCAATACTGTATTGCTCAGAAAACTTATCCCATGGGGCCCGGGTCGCACGCATCATTTTCATGCCGAATACATACAAATTATAGTGTGCCGTTCAAGTTGTGAATGATTTGTGATGTTTGCATGTACCCCCCCCCCCCCTCCACACATACACGCACACACACACACACACACACACACACACACACACACACACACACACACACACACACACACACACACACGGCACACTGGCACACGGCACACACACGGCACACACACACACACACACACACATACACCACACTGTTTTTCAAAAATAGTATTGTATTGCATTGTATTGAATGTCATTAATTTTTACTTCGGTGGCTCACATTGAACAGTACTGTGAGTCTGACAATGTACTACTACAACTTACAGTCCATTCAGAAAAAGATGGACTTCTAGCTTTTGGCCATAAATGGGTCAAACGTTGAGTTTTTTTAGAGTTTTTTTCTGCAACCCCCTATGGAATCCTCTTCCAATTATGTTTCTGAAGTCTATTTCTTCAAAAAGCAAGCCATAGGAAGAATAAGATTTCGGCCAGGTTTTGCCCCAAGAGCACTGAATTGGGAAAACCCATCAAAATCCAGGCTGTTTGACCCTGCCTGCAACAGTGCATTGTATGGTTCGAACCCCAGTTCAGGTACCCTTTTTGGACCCTTTTTCAAATTTCAAGTTTCACAGCACTGCACTGTGTACGATAAAATCTTGAAAATCGCCTAATACGGGAGCTCGCCAGAGCCAGGGCCCATCTTTTTGTGAATGGACTGTAGAAGAGGCCCGAAAAACCGATCATAGAGGAGATAAAAGGAAAAAGAAGGAGTAAACCAAAAACTAGATGAAGTGAGACATTGGCTGTGGTGCCTTTTTCCTTTCCCTTTCCTGTACCTCTCCTTTACCTTCACCTTTCTTTTTGTCCCACAGCTTCTCACTCTTTTCTCCGCTCCATCATCATGCGCATATGCGGCCATCACTACATAACCCCCCGGGCCACGGGCGGGGGTTATGTACTCTTGATTCATCTATCGCCATGATACTACATGTACATTTGTACTTTGTAGTAATGACATATGTATTATATCTCTTGATTTATAGGATTTGCAATAGACATATTCATAAATGATATATCTTCAATACCCATGAGCTACACTGTATATTATAATATGATGTAATTATCATAATTATTCAATGGTTATCATCATTCTAGCTCATTTTTTTCCCCTGTCATAGTCCCGTTTATCATGTTCAGCATAAGCGAAGTTGTGGATCATGCTTGCATGGTTGACTCCAACGCGTACATGCAAGTAATAATAATAATTATAATAATAATAATTATAGGATTTGAAAATGTGTGCCTTTTATGCCGTTGTTATTATACAGTGGTCATCACGACCAATAATAACGGCATAATGGTTTTCATGGAAGTTGTAAATATGTTTGAGGCATGAATGTTTACATTTTAGATTCATAGGGCGATAATATTTCTGATGAATACCCATTTTCAGCAATAATTGGAAATTTGAGCATAATTGTTCAGCTGCTGTCATGGAAAGGACTGAAGCAGTGAATGTGCAGAAGAACATTGCAGGTGTGGCACGGGGTGGTTTCATGATGACATATCGCACATGCCGTCATGAAACTACCAGTTTTAAGGATACAACAAGGTCCAAAAAATCTCAAAAGTCCTATACCGTATTTCCACAAATAGTAGGCCGGTCTACTATTTTTTCAACCTCGTCCTAACCCGGCCTTATAATCGAGGACGGTCTTGTATTCGAGGACGGTCTTGTATTCGAGGACGGTCTTTTATTCTTTCAACCCAGTTTGACCCTGGTCTTCTATTTCTCGCCACACAGTTTTACCCCCGTTCTTCCATTTTTTTCTACACAGTTTGAGCACGGTCTTCTATTTTTTTCCCACAGTTTGAGCACGGTCTTCTATTTTTAACACAAGAACAAAGACTCATTTAGTAGGCCCGGTCTTCTAATCGGAGACGGTCTTTTATTTTTTCAATCGCCCCCTGCCCCGGCCTTGTATACGAGGAAGGCGTTGTATACGAGGACGGCCTTTTATTTGCGGAAATACGGTATATAGGAATCGAAAACTACATGTAGGGCACAGGCCTTGAGCAAGGAGATGAGCCTGAGATGTTAGTGTTTGAAAAAAAATCTTATTCAACTCTCGATATCTACTAAGACCTAGCAAGGAAGGTCACATACTTTTTGCTATTCTCATGCCACACCCATTTTGAGTTGAAAAATATGACCAAAATCCTATACTATTGCATTGTAGTATAGGATTTAGCAAATAATTAAGGGGGGACGGGAGGTTCGCTGGCCATATTGCGGTGCCCGTTATAAATTCGCTTGAATCTCAGCACTCAAACATCAGAATTCCTTCAAATTTTCAGTATATGTTCCTTGACATCCACTGACGACATTGCAACCAAGAACTGTGGAAAGTATACTGGTATCATGGAGAAATGCAGGAAAGCAATTTTGGAAAAAATGCGATAGCCGGGCATGATTTCTGCGCAGTTTTTCTCAAACATGGTCACTTGAAGATAAACACATAACACTGCAAAATGATCAGGTACCAAGGGGCTAGGGCTGTTGCCTAAGCACAATGCGATTACAGTTCCCATGGTGTGCCACTGCAGCCTTGAAATAACAATGCACGTGCGCAAGATAACTTGACTGAAGTTCAAGGTCCATTATTTTGTTTCTAACAGAAGATCTTGTGTCCTAAGAAGGCAACGGATCTAGAATGGACCGTACAGAACCAGAAAATATATACTTTTACATACAAGATATGTACAGCATTTCTACAAAACTGCGCGGAGTGCCCATAATACCCCTAAAATCAGTGAAAAATGCACCTAAAAATTACATAAAAAGGACTGATAGCGGAGTGCTACTGAAATATTTTCACATATCTGACCTGAAGTTGCCATTCAGAAACCACCTTTGTCATATGTAGTGCCCTCTTTCTCAATAGTGGTCTCCTCCCAGCCTTTCCTCTGCCTCCTTCTCCTTTTCCTGCTCTCCTTTTCCACTGCTGATGACTTGCGGAGGGACTTCTTCACACGCCATTGGTCTTCTAGCTCAAGCGCTGCCTTCGTGTGATTGCCATCAATGCATCCACACTCTTTCAGCACACTGAGCAAGGTGATAGCGCCGTTGTTGAAGTTGAGCACTGCCAAACTACTTGCCAGCTGAACGGTGTCGACGGAGCAGAAGCCTTCCTTCGGACACATTCTCCAAATGACGTTGTTGAACGACTCGTTCGCATTCTGCGTTGCACCCATCTGGCAGCGCTCCAGCAGACTTCGTTCGGACAGCTGCATGTAGATGGGCTTCACGACTTCGAACACAGCCTTTGGGAGAGGGTTCTTATGAGGCCTCCGCGTGTGCCCACAGACCGCTGCCAAATATCGCACGCAGCTTCACTCTCCATACCGGGTGCAGATGCCGCTGTGTTTATGCTGCACTTGTGATTATCCAGCCAGGTTGAAAAGGCTTCCTCCGTGATTGCACCACTTCGCTTCTTCTCAGTCCAGATCTTACATTCGTGACAGTATCGACCCTTCACTGTGATGTCCAGTACACGGCCGCTCTGGAAGGAGATGTACGCGAACACACCATACAGCGACGAATTATCCCCTGCGCATCCAAGTGCCGTCGAACGTCACTGCGACGTGGGTGGAATCTGTCATGGCACGCAACTCAGCTGCGGATTGAACCATGTCAGTTTCAGCTAGCTTTACGGCTGCAGCAAGGACAACTTCCTGGTGGCTGCGGTACGCTTTCTCCGTTACAGGAGCAGGAAAATTCATTACGCCGCAAAACTTTCGGAGTCCACCATGGCCACGTCCAATGCATCGCATCGCCAGTACAGATCGTCAATTCAGATCATAGCTCCTGCAAATTTTCTTGCTCAGAGACGTACTTCCACTGTGTCCACACAAAGCGCATTGAAGTCGCAGGGTCGATCCAAGTCCAGTGTCATGACAGTTACTGACGATCATGTCTCCCTTCGTGCACTTCCTACAGACAGTAAATTTAATTGATCCATCAGTTCCTGGAGACACTGTAAATCCACGATCTTGTAGCCAGAGACAGACTCCTCAACATCAGGATAGAACGCATCATCATCATACTCCTGGCAGCTATCACTGGACGACTCGTCTGAATCACTGTCACTCGAGCACACAAGCTCAGATTCAAATTCCATGATCATAATAATATCACTAAGCCATTTTGGCCTCGACGAAATCTTCCGAGAGGAAGCGCTCTGCGCCGCTTCAACGGTGCCTTCTTCCACAACTGGTACAGAGCTTGACTGCTTTGGGGCGTAGTATCTCCTTTTCTTCCTCCTATGGCCACTTCCAGAGCTGCTGGAGCTTCTCTTTCGGTTCCCCATGTAAAATTGTTCACTTTCACGATCACAAACAAAAAAACAAAGATTTTTTCCTTCGCGTGGGCGTCGTGGCGCTGTAGAACGTCATACGCGCGTACGCGATCAAGGAAGCACGTGGCAGCTCTCCATGACTACAAAAACAGAAGCCAGGGTCGCTTACCTGGCGAAGTTGAATCAAAAACGCTTGATTTTGGACTAAACCAAAATCACAAATTTAGGCAATTGTAAACATTTGAGTATTTACATTTGAAATTTATCTCGACATACTTTAGCTCATAACTCCACTTCTACTAAACCGATTACGCTCAAATTTGAAATTCTGGCGCTTCAAATATCCTAAGACAAGATTCCATAGCAAAAAGTTCAAAACTCAGAAATTCATTTTTTGACCCTCTGAACCTCCCGTCCCCCCTTAAAGAGATCGACATCATTGTACAGTTGAACATCGATTATCCGCACATCGACTATCCGACCATTCGATTATCCGTAACAGTTTTTTTTGGGCGCACGTGCCGTAGAGGACGCACTGTGCATGTAGTGAGCCATTCAAAAAATACGAAAATTTTGAAAAGTAAAAAGGTCGTGCGGCTCTGCACAACGAAAATTCGAACGAAGTTTCGCGACAGGCCTTGCGAAAATGTGTACGAATTTTCGCACGAACTTTTTGTTCTGCACATTTTCGTAGTTTGCACGCACCAAGTGCACGTACGACATGACCCAATCTCACGAAACTTCCTACGAAAGTTCATTTCGCGTTCCCTGCAAGTTTCGCGTCCAAAGTTGCGAAAGTTCGTGCGAAGTTTCTCACTTCGTGACGTAGAGCGAAAGTTCGTACACATTTTCGTTTTGCAGAACCTCTCTAATAACCACTGAAAGTGTGTGAGTGACAGTTTTTTCTTATCTGGAACATTTGCCTTATCTGAACACCGCCTGACGTCGACAGCTGTCTGCCCAGAGGTGGTCGGATAATCGATGTTCAACTGTAGTAGATTATGACGTCATCTTGACGTTTAGAATGACCTCACAATGCTGAATATTTTTTGAGTTTTCAACTAACTTTTCAAGTCTTGTCTCAGTTTCAGTTTCTTCTTTGTCCTGTAACGGTGCAAGTACAGTCTCCATCTCATCTGTTCAAGATCCTCATCAATCGCATAGGCGGAGGTGTGTGCATACTGGGGAGTAACTGCACGAGTACACTAGCCATATTGGCTTTGAAAGTGGAGTGCCTTATCAGCCCTGATTAGCAGAAGGCTAGTTTCGCAGGAAAACACTGTAGAATTTGACATTTTCCAACAGAACGTAATCATACACGCGAGCTCAGGATGATGGCGGAAAGTAATGACACAGTGATCGACATGGATTCGGAGGTATGTCTGTTTCTGTGATTTCCGCATTTATACCATGGATATCGTTCTACATTACTCTTCACCTCTCCAACTATCTAATAATAATAATAATAATATTAACTGGTTTGAGGGAAAGAATAATTTAATTCCCGTAGCTATGCAGAAGACGTTACTTCAGTAACGTCTGGCGCTAGCCAGGGTCCACACAGCTTTAATTTGGTGTTTGTTTGTTTGTTTGTGTCACGCCTGGCGCTATCCCGTATCTGTCCCGTACCGTACCGTACCGTACCAGCCAAGACAGCTGGCCACAATATATTTTGGTTTGTTTGTGCCATCGGCATGCCTGACGCTATCCCGTACCTGTCCCGTACCATCAAGAATACGGTACAATCAAGAGAATGAGTATATATGCGGAGTGTATCGGGGGAATGCATTCAGTGCAGTAACATTTTGTGTGGATTTGTGTGCGAGGCCGAGATCCCACTAGCAGGCTGGCTGGGCCGCTTGTCGACCAGCCCGGGAATCGCATGTAGGCCGATAGCATAATAATTATAACGTATATAGATGTATAGCAGGGAGTCGTATTATGTAAACGACTCAGTGCTGTCTAGGGAGATTTTCTTGAAAGAAATACGAAGTAGGGAGATGAAGAAATGCAATTAGAATGGACGTTAGTTGCCGAATATGTGACATGATGCGTCAGCTAAAACAACCTTTGGAAGAGAGATCCCGTCGTCTCCAAAATAATCCTGAACGGGCGAGTCAGCGCCAGTCACAGGAAACGTCGGAAGAGAGATCCCGTCGACTCCAGAACGTCCGTGATCGGCAGAGTCAGCGCCGGTAACAGGAAACGTCGGAAGAGAGATCCCGTCGACTCCAGAACATTCGTGATCGGCAGAGTCAGCCCCGGTCACAGGAAACGGCAGGACAGACATCGCGTCGACTCCAGAACGCCCGTGATCGGCAGAGTCAGCGCCGGTCACTAGGGGTGTGCGGATAATGCTCGAAAAGGTGGCAGATTCTGCTCGAAAAGCAGTGAAATTGGCAGAACCATACAAACCTATGGCGGGCAATTCCTCGAATTCTGCTCCATTTCTTTATCCACATACCAAACATGCAGGAAACTTACCAAAAAAGTACCGAATTTGCCAATTTTTCTGCCGGCATTATCCGCATATGCCTACCGTTCACAGGAAACGTAACAAAAAAATTAAAAATTAAAAATATACAAAAAATATTAACGCCGTAGCAACAGACGTTACTTCAGTATCGTTTGGCGCTAGCCAGGGTTGACACGGCTTTGGCACGTCACATGCATGATGAGCAAGCAAAAAAGCATAGCGTAGGGCCCTGAGCTTCCAAGCTCTCTCGTTAAACAATCGTCACACGAAAACGTTTTGGAAATAATTAGTACACTTATCTGTTACATTGTTATGACTGCGCACTTTGTTTTATTCATTGCCAATAATAATACCGGTATTAGAAAACAATACCGTTCTATTCGAAGTACATGTCGGTTCTTTAGACACATAGCACTCTATTTCCTATTGATGATTGCACTTAAAATTTATAACTTACGACTTCAACTGTAGAAGTTTGTTTTGCATATTTACCTGAACTATGTTAAAGTGTGCTTAGTAGATCTACGTTTAGAATAGTACAATCATTGATGGTACATTGTACATGATAATCCTGAGTGGTGGTAGTGTGAGTGAGAGGGGGGGGGGTCTGTATTACTCATTGGATATTCTCGCAACAGTACATATCTGCATTTATGCTGACCTTTCATACAAACTTTCAGTCAACTTGCCCATCATGCTGGCGGCTTATACTGGGCGTATACACCTCATACAAACCCCATACAAACCCCATATAGACCGCCACCATAGAAACAGGAAGAAGTTGACTGTCAGTTTGTATGAAGGTCAGCATAAGTATAATACATCCCACTAGTACACTTGTACGTGAAATATAAACCATCATACAAACCTCGGCTTTACCTCGGTTTGTATGTCGGTTTATATTTCACGTACAAGCGTACTGTTGGGTTGTATTATATACATATGTCGTGTTACGTATCTGAATGGCTTCCGGGACGGAACGAGAAGCAGCTAGTCTACTGACAGTGTATTACTCACTGGATATTCTCGCAACAGTACGTATCTGCATATATGTCGTGTTACGTATCTGAATGGCTTCCGGGACGGAACGAGAAGCAGCTAGTTTACTGACAGTCCTGACGTGCAGCTCTCCTCCATTCTACATTTGTCCTTGTTTGTGCTACAGGATAGCAGCAGTGGCGATACTGCCAACCGTAAGTTCCGTTTGTATTTCATTTAGCGTTAGTGCTTTGCTATGCAGCAATTGCCTTGTGCAAACTATGCACTTTTCGAATGCTGTGGCGTATTGGTAGTTCCTTTGCATGGAGACAGAGTCCATCCACAGCAAGCCAGCTTGCATTTGGATGACATCACTATGTACACAGGGACCATTTGTAGGCCCCTTGAGCGGCTGGCTTAGACAGGTCTCACTGGGCACACATGTTCATTGTACACATACACACACACATACCATGTACAATGTATACGCCCGTCGCAAGAGAAGCACGCAAATCTGCAAATGCACTGGATGTGCACCCACAGATTTTCTCTTATAGCAACGATAGCGAACAAGATCTGAATGAGACAGATCAAGACTTGCGCCAGATAACTGTCTAATCCACACAACTGGCGAAGCCATGTGAATCGGCCACCAATGCACACCTGGTCTACACCACACGGAGTACATCGGCATAAAACGGCCAAGACAGTTACCTATGCACGCCCTACACTTGCTGGGGTAACCAGTATAGACAGCACGCTGCTTTGATAGAAGCAGACACATAGATTCACTGGTACCTTGAATTGAAATTGGAGTTACTTTACCAATCAGTCTCGGCTACTGAGTACTGGGAACCCAGAGCCAACAGACATACCAACAACCTCAGCCATGAAAGCTATTATAGTAACGACACACTGGATTGTGGAGCCGAAACTAGTCCAACTTCCGAATGCTTTGGCAAGAAGGTAGCCTTCCGACACACACACACACACACACACACACACACACACACACATACACACACACACCTCAGACCTCAGACATGCCCATCGCGGGAGCGATGATAGCGAATAGCTATGTTAGACATAGCAACTTGTGCTGGGATTACACCATTCAACAGCTTGCAAGGCTGATGAATTGACCGCCACTATTTTTAGCCTGGTATCCACCACACAGCTGTTTGAAGTGACTTTTTCTGGCCAGTGAATCCCTATTTTTGATTTTTTCAATTTTTTTCTTTTTTTCTTTTTCTACACACACACCACACCACATACTCCGGCATACACTGGCTGTTGGTAACCACCCAGGAGAATGAAAGAAAAGTCAGGAAGAGTCTGAGAAAGAGACTCTTTCTCACACACACACACACACACACATACACACACACACATACACACCTGACCTTTGACGCCCATCGCCGGAGGCGATGATAGCAATGCTACGGCAGAAGCCATAGCAACTTGTGCTGGGATTGCACCATTCAACAGTTTGCAAGGCTGAAGAATTGACCGTCACTATTCAGCCTGGTCTACACCATACAGCTAGACTGTGAGCCAAGTGCATGAATTCATGATTTTCGTTCCCACTTTGGGTGTACCGCGATTTTGTTCTTTTAGCATGTGGAGAGACCTAATAGAAGATCATTTTTGATTGTTGTCAGTTTGGGAAGCTTGCAGGGAAGTCAAAATAAGCAATTATCTTAACATACCCCGTTTCCATAGCAACTACATAGCAACTGACATAGCAACATGCTATTTTGAAGGTGTTTCTTACTTTTTTCAGCAGGCAACGGCACTGGACGAAGAAATGTATATCAAGCGTCATTGCAGCTGGGTTAAAATAACTATACGAGGCCAAAAATTATAGAATTGCGCATAAGTGCATTGTATAAAGTACGTGCACATTTTAAATATTACTCGAAGTGACGATGCACTGGTAGGTAAGTGCACATGAAATGGTGCCGACAACCACGAAATGCACTTCAGGAATGATAATGTACAGAACAAACAGGTGGCATTCAATATACAAAGCCCAGCAGCAGCGAATTCTCCAGACAACGGTTGGAAAAGACCATCAACAACAGCCAGGAGAATCTGGTTTAATCCGGTGCAATGCTCATTTCACCCTCTCCATCTCTATAATATATACATGTACAGTATGGCAGAATAATGTTAAAGAAGTTGCTGGATACAGGATTTGTATATTTGCACTCATATAACTGATCAATGTAACGTTACTTCGTAAGTACTGCTGTATTGCTTCCTAACTTATAAGTGCAAAGGGTAGAGCAATGACCGTAACCAGTAACGTTAGAGGACCGCAGGGGTATACCGGTAGATACAGATCTGTAGTTCATTTGAACTATAATAATAATTATTTTGAAACGTTAGTTAAATTACCCATTGTATGTACAGAACACAAGCGGAAAGATACGATTAATCATAGTCTGAAGCACTTCAGTATAAAAGATCGAAACAGTTATTAGCTCTCCGGAGATAAGGTACATTGTACGTTCTACATGTATTTCTGCTCCAACAGATTACAAAAACCTTTAGTTTAGCTTGACTGATCAGCAGCAAGCATGCTAGCACACTGATATGATTGACATGATGATGTTCGTACTGCCACTGCGCTGCACTAGCACTGCACACAATACTAAACCACGAAAAAACATCGTCATGATGCGGCTGGGTTTGCACCACCGTACATTTTTGCGAGGTCAGTGGTGCAACAGAAGTCCGCTCCAGCTCTTGTGACCTTGGTTCTTGTCGATGGCGGCTATTGATTTGGCCAAAGTAGTTTCTCCCTTCTATTTGGGCATGTTCGTGCCTGATTTGGAAGTGACAACAAGCTGAATTCGTATCTAGTCGAGTAGATGAAACGAACTGGGGAAAAAAATTGCGGTACGCTCAAGGTCGGAACGAAAAAAAAATCTAACAGGATTTTTGGTGCCTGGCTCACAGTCTAAGCTATTTGAAGTGATTTTTCTGGCCAGTGAATCCCTATTTTTGGTCTTTTTCATTTTTTTTTCCCGCACACACATCACACCACATACTCCGGCATGCACTGGCTGTTGGTAACCACCCAGGAGAATGAAAGAAAAGTCAGGAAGAGTCTGAGAAAGAGAAGAAAGACGTGTGTGACCATAATCGTCGGGAATCGAACCCGCAACCTATCGATTGGAAATCGCTGCACATACCACTGCACCATATGGGACACACACACATACACACACATACACACACACACACACACACACACACACACACACACACACACACACACACACACACACACACACACACACACACACACACATACACACATACATACACACACACACACACACACACGCACGCACACACACACACACACACACACACACACACACACACACACACACACACACACACACACACATGGCAAACCATTCACATGAAAAGCATGTGTCTGACAATGTACACTACAATGTAACTCAGTAATGGATCAACCTGTTTTGGCAGTTTTCTCACTGCTGTGGGATGTTGGCTTGAGGGTTAGTTCATATGTAGGTGTTGTTGCATTGCTGACTATTCTTCTCTGTGTGGTCTTGCTGTTCCATGGCTGCTGCTGCTGCGACTTGCTGCTTGTGCGGGGACGTGTGCGGTGTGTGTGTGCATGTGTGTGTGCGTTTGTGTGTGGTGTGTGCGTGTGTGTGTGCACATGTACGTTTGTGTGTGGTGTGTGGTGTGTGTGTGTGCACATGTACGTTTGTGTGTATGTGCACGTGTACGTACGTGCGTGTGCGTGTGTGCATGTACATGTACATTGGTGATGCAGAGTCGACAGCAATCACCGGTGAGTCATCCTTATAATATGTTTGCCCTTGGAGACATACCTTTGTTCAAGTGCCCTACGTGTATTGTGGTCTGCTTCGTTCTCCCAGTTGTACAATTCACTTGCAATATCATGTTCTGTCTGCTATTTTGCAAGAGCGGTGAACTTCGTACGGTGTATTTTGCAAGAGCGGTGAACTTCGTACGGTGTATTTTGCAAGAGCGGTGAACTTCGTACGGTGTATTTTGCAAGAGCGGTGAACTTCGTACGGTGTATTTTGCAAGAGCGGTGAACTTCGTACGGTGTATTTTGCGACAGAGACGTGTGTTTTGGTAGTTATAAATTTGGCCTGGTGCGCATTATGAAAACAAGCTTGCGGTAATGTTTCTCTGAAGCAGGCTGCTACTGCTACCCTGGGAAGATGTTTTCTTGTGGTGGTACATGCCCTCTGCCGAGTGATTGTCCCTCTACAGTAGTACATTGTGTGTGTGTGTGTAAGCACAGGGGCCTGTGCGCTGTGTCACTAGTGGCCGGGTCACGATGATCTTGGCTGTCAGAGCTGGGGACCAGCATTTCAACCGAGTTGTCTTCTGGTAGTGGAGTACTACATGATTGTGCTCTGTTCACGTGTTGCCGTATGCCCTGGGTCATTTTCAGTGGATTGCGATTTGTGCGTGCACAGTTGAACCTCACTTACTAGTATCCGGGTTTCTGTGCTCAGGGGCCCAGGCTGTACTCTGAATTCTATTAATTTCGTTGTTCTCTGCTCTCTTTGCTCAGGTGCTATTGGTGATGACACACAGGGTGACGACCAAGAGGATGTTGATGAAGATGAAGATGACGTAAGCCATGTTCTTCATCCGTATGTACTGATGATACTTTCAGTTTGCATGTTGTCATGTGGCTGGTCGTAGGCTATCGTACCTCCTAATCCAGGGAACACGCAAAATTAATCTGTACTTCGTAGCCAAGAGGGAAAAGGTGTACTTTAGATTGTAAATCTGGCATACAATGACGTGTGGGTGATGATGTGGCTTGTCGTGTATTGTGCTTGTGTACTGCTGTAGTATGTGGGTGTGCACATGTGTGTGTGTGGGGTGTCGGCATGGTGTGGATGTGTGCGGGTATGGATGTGTGCGGGTGTGGATGTGTGCGGGTGTGGATGTGTGCGGGTGTGGATGTGTGCGGGTGTGGATGTGTGCGGGTGTGGATGTGCGTTTATGTGAGTGTGCGTGGGTGTGGATGTGTGTGGATGCGGGTGCCAGCTAGTTTGGTTGGTGGGTGCACTTATGCCAGATAGTGTTGGGCCTGTTGCCAACGGGCTCGGCTGCTTGAAGGTGTATTGTTGTACCTAACACCTTTGTTGGTTTCAGGGTTCATATACTTTCTGTTTGAAGTATACATACCTGTTAACTATGGACTGCTTCTGGCTAGATTAACTCTTGTGTGATCAATGGTGCTAGTGAAGCTTATATCAGATCCACTCTGATTTAGCCACCCACACTAGTACCAAGTATTACCTTCACTGGGGGCAGGGGTACCTGCAGTTGGATCCCGGGACGGATACCCTGATGCCGTCAATCCTTTTTCTGCACCTTGTCCTCACCCACTTACTGAGGTGTGGTGAGCCCATAAGTGGGATCATTTCAAGTCCACCCTAGTTTGGGGATTTCAGGGAGTGTCGGCCGTTGGGTGGTTCAATGGCCAATTGAGTCATCTTTCCAAGATTCCTTTTGAGTCTCTCTCCCCTCTCCCGGGGAGACCCACGTGACCAGTTTTGGCAGTGAGCAAGTACAAGTACAGGATGCGGGTATGTGTGTGGGTGTGTATGTGTGTGGATGTGTGTATGTGTATGTGTGTGGATGTGGGTATGTGTGTGGGTGTGTATGTGTGTGGGTGTGTATGTGTGTGGGTGTGTATGTGTGTGGGTGTGTATGTGTGTGGATGTGAGTTTGTGTGGGTGTGGATGTGTGTGGGTGTGCATGTGTGTGGATGTGAGTGTGTGTGGGTGTGGATGTGTGTGGGTGTGTTTGTGTGTGGATGTGGATGTGTGTGGGTGTGTATGGGATTCACTGGCCAGAAAAAGCCACTTCATAGCTGTGTGGTGTAGACCAGGCTGAATAGTGGCGGTCAATTCTTCAGCCTTGCAAGCTGTTGAATGGTGCAATCCCAGCACAAGCTGCTATGGCTTCTGCTGTAGCATCGCTATCATCGCCTCCAGCGATGGGCGTCCAATGGTCCAATAGGTGTGTATGTGTGTGGATGTGGATGTGTGTGGATGTGGGTATGGGCTTGTGGATATTTGCGGGTGTGATGTATGTGTGCCCAGGGAATAATTTACTTTCAACTTT